AGATTTACAGCTGTGTGTATGCATACGTTTTGTACTCTATACAGTGTACGCCATGCCGACATCTACATGGCTTCATGTCATATACGTGGTACGAGCCCACAAATGGTCGGTTCACATGGGTGAGTCATTGTGTGATAAACTCCAGATTTTGCGGAAAACTGAAGGTTTCCAAAAGCGCACATTTCATAAGTTCACTCCAAGCTCGTCTCGGAAGGTGTGCACTATACGGCGAAGGGAAATTCGTCCGTTGTGGGAGCTGGAGGTGTACGTGTGTGTGGCTGTCCGTTTGTAGTGGTATGTTTATTTGACCATCCGTGTGCGTCACGAAACTCCGAACTGGACAATACGTGTGCTACCCCTGTTGGACGCATAACGCAGATTGTGATACTCCGGGCCAGTGGTCATAGCCCACGCCCCCTCGGGCGAACATAAAAGTTGCACCGATCGATGGATATTCGCGTTATTTATATTTACCGGCGCAAGCCGGGGATGGGTCAGGAGGTGAAGTGGGTTCATTCGGCAATTCAACAGTGAAGTAATTTAGGAACTTCAGTGAAAAATCCATCGATCTCCGACTACCCTCAAATTACGTAGGCAACAAATTGTCTCCAGGACTCTATGAGTGTTACGAGCAGAATACTAGCACAATCGTTGGAGTAAATTTTGTAATTCACATAAAGGGAGTGATTGCCGATCACTGGAATTAACACTGTTTTGTCTAATAAAGACTTTTAATTGGAAAATATCGAACATAATTTGGTGTCATGGCTTTGTGCCCACAAATAGAACCAGTTGGTTTATTTGTTAGTTACGATCATCGTTTATGATTTGGTGGCATTTGAATACCTCTCCCATACCTCTTGGAATTTCACATCACCTCCGTTGTTTCTTCTGTGTGTGAGAGCGAGGAAACGATTTCATCAATCTCCTAAACCACCCTAAACCACCCTCTGAACGAGTTTACTGAATGCGCAAACGAATGATCTATGGATTGCAAAATGTAACCAGGAGAAACGTACTACCAGAAATAAGGGATAAACATCTTTCTTCATTTACTTCATGTGGGGAGTTGATAAGACGTTTACTAAGAAGCTGAAAAACACTTCACTTCTCATTAGAATTTATGATGCGAATTTATCACTCCATCCGGAATGAGTTCGAACCCAGGACCTAATTAACCACCGGGAAGAGATATATCATTCTGTCTCATGTTGCATATAGATGATATAGTACAACCCATCTTTATAAGCATGTTGCTGGCATTTAATCAAGCTCATCTTTAGGTTAGCCTCGGGGTCGCAACTCGATTGGAAACATTCCGGACCTGATTCCTTACCACATGAATAGTATGCCTAATCTTAACTCATACCGTCTCTGGTTCGATAATCCATTGGATCGATGGCCTTTAATTGCACTGATGAGACCAAACAAGGTCGAAACAACCGCACATTGTTCCCCGAACACCAATAATCTAACGTAAATTAAGATTGAATTTATTACTTTATCAAATAAGATCATCAACCATTCCCTTGTTTTCCATTTTTAATTCAAGTATCAGGCCCAGTAAAATTTGGTTGGCAAGGTTTGATCAAAAATCGATTCACTGAACGATTGCCTCGTTAATCGTCACTTTATTGTCGGCTTTTATGGTTGGCTGTACAGATCGTTTAATTCTCTGGTAATCGCTCCCTCTACCCCACCCCCCATCAGTTCCTCTCGATACCGTATCCTTTATTCTCTTTAACTATCCTCTCTTCCCTTACTACTGTGATCCCTTATCCGTGTTCGCTGTTTACCACCGACAAGTTTGTCAAAACGCATTCCCTCGCCCTGGTTCGATTCTTGGAACCTCAGCTGGCGGCAAAACAAAAAGAAGAGTTGGCCAGTTGTTTGGTGAACATTTATGAAAGAATTCCTGGTCTGTCTGTCGCTCAGCTGTTGACAGATTTACTCCGAGAAGACTTACGGCAGCACAGTGAGTTCACGCCGCTCCAACTCCAGTTTATTTCACTTTCTAGCTGCTCCGATTTTCAAACGCATCCAAACTCTCTTGCTCTGCATCAGTGAAATATATTTGAGTACTGTAATGAGCAAGATCCACCGCATCACCATCCTCACCTGTATAAATATTGTTTATATTACAAAAATTGCCGCCCGTGTGTAGAAAGGAAGTTTATCATTGAAGACTTCCGTCAATTAGAGGAATGGTGAAGTCTGTTGGAGTTCTGAGCACATAGTAAACAAGTCTTAATAATGGTGTCCGGCGGAAACGAAGTGAGTGCGTGTGCAGAATAGATTAGGAGGGATGAGGTGAAATGGTTTCACACTGATCGTATCATGGGTGACACTCAGATGATACCAAGCTGTTTCAAACCAAACTCCCGCAATTTTGAAAAGCAGGTAAAGCAACCACGATTCAGTTCCTGGACGATTTCGTTGCATCGCAA